ACGTATACATACATACATTCCTTTTCATATTCTTTTTCATTATAGATTACTATAAGATATTGAAAGCAGTTCCATGTGCTATACAGTATAAACTTGTTCATCTATTTTATATATAGTAGTTAGTATCTGCATATCACAAACTCTGATTTCTTGAACTGAGTACTTTTCAATTAACTATTGCACTCAGCTAGACTTCACTTTCTGAGATGTACTTATTTAATAAGTTTAAGCATATATAATTACACCTTAATTAAACTAGTATGTGCCTTGTAGATAACATTAGACAAGTAAACACACCTATTAAAACTTGTAACATGACTGTCATTTCCCAGCTACGTGCAGTTTTTAACATGAGACGCAGTGTATAACATACAATGAGGCTCGCGGTAATAATCAGTCTCTTTGTAAATCGTTTGTCCTTATTTGTTCAGAGTCACCTGGGTAGCATGATAATCATCAAGATCCAAAAAACAGAAAAGAGTTTAATATTCTGCAATTTGTAAAAGTGTTTTCTCCGTTTTTTCCTCTAATTCTTAGCTCACTGTTCTTTCTACGCTGCTTGCAGCACTGAACTGTGTGTGTGATCTGGGATTTCATGCTCACATTTATTTATGAGCCAACATTAAGATTTTTGTGCACGAGTGATTTTTATATTACACTATGTTTTAAATTCATTGCTAAACACAGTTTTCTTATTGCTTTCTCCCCACTCCTTCTCCACTTTCTATTCCTTAAACAGAGTGACTGGCCAGAAGGGTACCAGCTTGCGTCCTCTATGAATTTCCGCTTTCCCCAGTGTGTTCCTATAAACTTAAAAACTCTTATTCCCAATGCCAGTAATGAAGCTATTCAGCTTATGACTGAAATGTTGAGTTGGGATCCAAAGAAACGGCCAACAGCAAGCCAGGTAAGACAGATCTTCCTGGGATGGTTGGGTTTTTCTGTTTGTTTCTTAATTTGACATTTTACAGTATCAGAGATATTTCCCTTTAAAGATAAGTCTATTCTTAACCAGAGGTTTATCAAGAGATTTGAGCTCTAAAGCTTACGGCATCCAGTGTATGTAGTGAATTAACTTCTAGTCAGGTAAGATTCTTGGGAGAATTGCAAAAATAGCCACTCCAATGATTTTCTATGTTTCAACACATGTGCCAGCGTATTTCCTAATATTTCTATACACTTATTATTTTTGTAGTAAAAATATAATAGAAGTCTTTAAATCCCAATCTAAAAAAGAAGACATGAGACATGAAAAATATCACAGAAAAAGAAATTAAAATTACCAAAAATATTTTGAAATGCTGAATCCTTGTTCATAATCATAAATGCAAATAAAAGTGAAATATTATTTTTAATCCATCAAATTAGCAAAAAATAAAAAATAGTTTATAAAGTCTATTTAAGTAATGGAAAGCAATTTTACAATGTATATAAAGAAACTTAAAAACAGTCAGAAACTTGGATAAAGATTTATGCCCAAAAATGTTCAAAGCTAATTAAAAACTGCCCATGGGAAGTATAAACCTAAATATTTATATGATCATTTAAAGTACATATATCTTTACTATGGACTGTTTTGCCATTAAAAATGAAAATTTTCAAATAAAGTAACCATTTCAGAGAATTCTCAGGCTCAAATGCTAAGTTGAAAAGTAGGCTAAAATATTAAATATTAAATAAACATATAGTATGATTTTATTAAAAATATATACACATGTATATGAAAGACAATGTATATATAAGACTAGAAAGACATACGAAAAAGAAAAATACATCAAAATGTGAGCAATAGTTTTCTCCTGGTGTTGTCTTTTAGAGATGATTTTAATTTCTTCTTGAGAACTTTCTACACATTCCCTATTCTATGAAATCAATATTCCCTTAATAAACAGGAAAACATAAATTACTAGTTTTTAAAGATTCTCTCCTCCTTGAAGGATTGTAGCTGGTATCTTAAAGGGGAAAAGTTACAGATGAAGCCATGAAATTATAAAACACATTCACAAAGGGTCTATGAAATGAACATCATTAACTAAAATGTACATTAAATGTAAATGCCCATTAAAATGTACATTATTTAGGAATATTGACATGCTAATTAATGTGGCCTAATTCAGAATTTGAGTGCCTTCTGTGCATCAGATACTGATGTATTTAAATCGTCTACATTTGTTGATTTCTACTAAGCAACGTCCGTATAATTAACACATACATCAGTTCTGGTAGGAGACACAACCAAGTGTCTAAGGGGAAACTCAGAATAAAAACTTCTTTTTCTACCTCTGCCAAAATATACCTCCCTGCCCTTAACCTTTTTCCTGTTCCCACTATTTGCCCTGCTTTTTAGTGAAGGCAGGGAGACAGTCAGGGAGAGGTTAAGACCATGTACAGAGCCGCCTCTGGTTCCTTTAGAAGCTGCCCTTACACACCTGAGAAGCTAACTGTGGGTCAGGGCTGTGCTCCCACATAGTTGGGGACTGGCTTAGGGCAGGGGGTGCAGGGGAACTGGACTTGGTTATCCTAAGGAGCAGCTCCCCGATTCACACACAGAACAGCAGAACTGGAACTTTGTTAGCCCAAGCATGTGATACAAAGAGGATCTGTATCTGGAGCGGAGCTGCACAGGAAGCTTCAGACATTCTCTACGCCACTTTTCATCCACCCGGGACTACTGACATTTCTGACCAGATAATTCTTTGCTGTGGGAGCTGTCCTGTTCCCTCCGGGATATTCTGCAGCACTCCTGGCAGCATGCCGCGATGCCAGGAGCACCTCCCACTCCCCCTAGTTGTGACAGTAAAAAATGTCTCCTAAGGGGCAAAATCTCCCCCAGCTGAGAACCACTGCTCTAGTCTGTGTCACTCAGATGGTCACCATCCCTCTCCTCCTGCAATAGGAGCGACTGGATGACTGATCTAGTTAATACACAATGCTCACTGATCATTTTTACTAGTATTTTTACATTTTCTTCCCATAAGTATCTTCTCTTTGCTGGTATATGTTAAAATAAGCTTTAACACGTATGTGTTTGTAATCTCTTTTCTTAGAATTTTTGTATTGCTAGTAGGTATGTAGTTACAGTTAGGCTAAGAGTAACCCTGAATTTTATGATGTTATAGTTAATCATTTAAAATAAACTCTGTGGAAGGCTTGCTTAACTCATTTCTTAATGCTCTTATGGACTCTTAAACATTATCAGTATCAAGCATATTAGTTTGAATTAATCACATCAAATTCAGTCAATGCTTAGACGCTACATTTTTTTTTCATACAAAGTTAACAGTTGCTTTGACTGGATGTTAAAATTACAAGTGAGTTTTACATTCTTTCTACTAATGTACTTTTTAATTTCTTAAATGAAATTTATTTCTCAAATCATTTTTTCCTGGTTATCTTTTTTAAGTCGTCACATAAGGGGAAAACTGGGTGCTTTCTAAATCTTTGAAGCTTATCTTGACTTAGTAATATGTGTCTAGCCCAATGCCAGACAGTAGTTTAGGTGCATTAAAGTTAGGTGAAACCGTTTTCCACTGGTTATTTCCATTTTTTGTAGGCACTGAAACACCCATATTTTCAAGTTGGTCAAGTATTAGGCCCTTCCTCCCATCATCTGGAATCGAAACAGGCTTTAAGTAAGCATGTGCAACCACTAGAATCAAAACCATCTGTAGCTGACCTAGAAGCCAAGCCTCTGCCAGACATAAATGATCAGACTGTCGGGCAGCCCCAACCGAAAAACAGCCACCAGCCACTGCAGGCCATCCAGCCACCACAGAACACGAGTGTCCAGCAAGCACCGAAGCAGCAGAGTCAACAGAAACAGCCACAAACACTATTTCCAAGTATCGTCAAGAACATGCCAACCGTAAGTAGCCCATCATGACATTTTCAATGCGATAGTTGGCTCAGCTAGGATTTCGTTTCTAGGCATCCCTGAGAATCTTGGCTAGATCGTGTCCCGTGGCTCCACAGAGCTGCAGGGGAGGCTGGCGTTTGAGGTGTTTAAGCTGGGCACATGGCTGAACAGAATCTTAGCAAGGAGGAGGGGAGTGGGGCTATTGACGGGCAACCAGCAGCGCCGGCCACACTCTCCTTTGACCTCTGCTCAGACATACACAGAGTCCAGACCTTTTATTCCTTGATAACAGCAGATGTCTTCTTTCCTGAGCATTCCAACCACTGTGAACCTGCCGCCCTTCTCACTCCACGCCACCGTAACTGCAAAGGCCTCCTATCTGAAGAGCCCGACCTTCCTTGAATACAACCTTAATCACATCACTTCTTAAGCTCGAAAACACCCAGTGTGCTTCTGCCCCAGGATGGCTCTAGTTTCTTAGGCAGACACTGAAGGCCCTTCATCACGTACCATCTTTACAGCCTGTCCTCCACCCAGCACACAGCATCTGCTTCAGTAAACCTAGTCTCCCCCTTCTTCCTGGAGCATGCTCCGGCACCTTCCTATTAAAAAGTCATACTTCATTTCCTCTTCCAAACTCTAGAGTGACAGTGATAACAACAACAACAGCAATAATAATAATGCCTAACCTTTAGTAACGCTTGTGTGCTGGGCCCTATCCTAGAAGTTTTTTTTTCCAGTTTAAAAAAGAGCTTATTTAATTTTTCTGACCACTGTCTTAGAGCATGGCTCAGGAGTACTTTTTAATTTTTTTACTAAAGTATAGTTGAAGGACAGTGTTAGTTTCAGGTGTGTGCTATACCTATCCTAAAAACTTTTGATGTATTTTACTATCAAATCCAAAGAAAAAAAACCTAAGATAAATACTATACATCCCCATTTAAGGAGAAGGAAACTAAGGCTTTGAAAAGTCAAGTCATTTGCCCAAAGAGACACACACAGCACACATGGCAGTTTTCCAAATTACACATCAGTGAAGAGTCAATTCTGAGCCTAAGTATTCAAGTCTCCCCACCCCAAGTTCACGAGTTCTCTCCTCTCTCAATTCCTATCATATTTTTAGCATGTGCTACCTATCTTTGTTCATACTTTTAAATAAGTATGTATGTCATTGTCTTGATTCTATAGAAAGCTCCTTGAGAATGGGGACTCTTAGTATCAAATATAATAAATAGCTTGCACACAAAAGGCATTCAGCACCTGATTGAAGATGATGACTGGTTTCCCACCACAGAAGCCAAATGGCAGCCTGGCCCATAAAAGTGCTAGGCGGCGCTGGGGTCAGACTGTTTTCAAGTCCGGAGACAGCTGGGAAGAGTTTGAGGACTGTGATTTCGGAGCCTCCCATTCCAAGAAGCCAAGCATGGGTATTGTCAAAGAAAAGAGGAAAAGTTCTCCATTTCGGTAAGATTTCATGTTTCTCGGGAAAATACATATTTTTATCATGCATCAACTTTATGTTACTCATTAAGTATAAATGAATGTAGAATTTAGAAGATAATAAGTAGCTTTAATATTGTTTTCTCCCACAAAACCCAAATCTCTGTGCTTACTTCTGAAAAAGACTCTTGACTTCTCAGAGTAATGATTCTCAGTATCCGTGGCTGAGTGTGTGTGGAGGGAGGGGTCCTAGTTAAATTTTCAGTGTGTCCTGTTGAATTATGATCACCATTATAACCACTCGAAATCCACATGCCTTTCTGCAAAAAGCGAAGCACAGTTTACCAAGGTAATGGTTTCCTCTGGGGGTGGTGTTCAGATTTCATTATTTATTTGCTTACTGTTCGCAACTTTTTTGCCCATTTTCTGAACTTTTCCTGGAAGCTTAGTCTCTCTAGCAGTCCTTTTTAAGTTGAATCATCATGAGTGAGTTATTCAACTTTGAGGTGAAGATGGGTTCAATTCTGGTGACTATTTTGGAAAGATATCTTCCTCCCCACCCTGCCTCTTTGGAACAAAAGAGGAATAGGGAGAAAAGATGTGGCAGGAGTCAGGGGAGGGTATCTCATAGCTGCTTGGCACTGCACAGTGGGAAGTCCTCACTTCTCAGTACGCATCCCTCTGAAGGAACATGAAGACTCTAAGGGGTACTTCGTGCTTAGTCAGTTTCCAGGTCCTCAAGCTCCACAGGTACTCTTCCCTAAAATACACAAGCCCGAGAACACACAGAATAAACATGCTTAACCCACCTCACACTTTATGCCGGGAAGTCTCACCTCTCAGCCACTTCAGGTTTTACACGGCCTGAGGATGTAACAGCTGTTGAGGTGCTAACCCAGCAAGCAATCAGAAGACTGGACCTCAACTCCACTGGCCTTCTGGGGTTCCATGTCCTAAATGTATTTCTCTTCAGGGGAAAACCTCACATTTAGAAATAGGTGTTTTAGCCTGTGTTGGGAAGCAGGTGTAACTACAGCCCGAGGGAAAGGGGAACAAGCCAGAAGTAGGGGGGCTGTTTCTAATGAGTGGGTCTTCCTGTGTCAAGAGCCACCCGAAAGCGGTGGTCAGTGGTTCAAAGGGCCAGCCACGTCACTGTCCGTCTCCCAGGGGCTAGGCTGGCTCAGTAAGGATTTCCCAGTGGTAACCATGGAGGCATGGAGTCAGACAGGTGGCAAGACCAGCAGTGTCACCATGCTTCCGCCCAGGAAGAGACCCAGTTGGACAGGGAGGGGAAGGTCGCAGTGAAGGGCAGCGCACAGCACAGGCAGCAAAACCATCACAGCCCCGTCCTCCAGGCAGCGAGGGCTGCTGCCCGGTCAGATGGCCTCATGAAGCAGACAAAGCAAACCAGACGCTGGAAGTCCTCTTTTCCGCCCAGACACAGGGCTGCGGGAGGCAGGCACTGAGGGGCAGAGTCCGCCCCACGGAAGAGCCAGCCAGGCGCCCAGCCAGGCGCCCAGCCAGGCCCGGGTCAGCCCTGCCTACTGCGAACAGGCACATCGCAACACATGTGTCTTTTCTTTGTATGTCACATTAGGCGAATTGGAAATTTCGTCTGGAAACTTACCTAGCATGTCTTTCCCCACTTCCTTTCTCAGCCCAGCCCAAACTGTGTCCCCAGCAACCTTCCTGGTGACACGCTGCTGTGGCAGACATGTAGAGGTGGCTGTGATTCCCTCCCCTTTTAACTGGCCATCTTCCCACGCCGTAAATCCACAGTGGTAGCAGTTGCAGGGAAGATGGAAACATACTATGCACAGGCAATCTGCCGCTTAGGTGTACAGCTTCCTGCCACGTACCGTCCAGGATTAGGAATGATTCTGCACCCTGCCCAGTGTCTACTCGAGCAGAAGTTATCAAAAGGACTCTGATGAAGACGACTGGCTGGTTTGGAAAGCTGTGCAGGGGGTAGGTGGCTGGGCGCAGAGTCGCCGTCATCTTCTTGTTCTTCACGCAGTGATGCTACTTTCTGTTGACTTTCAAGGCTTCCGGAGTCAGTACCCGCAGGCTCCAACCACTCAACAGGGGAAAACAAGAGCTTTCCTGCTGTTACTTCCCTAAAATCTGATTCTGAATTGTCAACTGCTTCGACAGCTAAACAGTACTATTTGAAACAATCCAGATACCTTCCAGGTCAGTAGAGAAAATGAAATGTTTACTGGGAACTAGGCTATAAACAGGTCATGCTCAGTGTCTGAATCTCTGAAGAAAGGGCATCAGTGAAATATGATCACAGTGCTCTTTGCTGGCTTAGCCTGTCACCAGGGACTTTTCTAGACCCTCTCCTCTGTCATGTCTGCTCAATAAATGCCTGGCAGCCACATATCAAGATGATGAGTGTGATTCCAAAAATACCACCCTCCCCCACCAAAGCTATACCCTCAGTAAATGCTAAATTTTATTAAAACAATTCTGCACCCCCATTTTACAAGTTTTTATAAGATGTAGAATTTTATAGTTTCCTAAATGATCTGATTTGTGTTTTGAAAAGATCATTCTGGCTGCTGGTAGAGCAGGCTAGGAGCTCAAAAGGGGCAAGGAGACTGGTCAAGAGGCCACTGCCCATGTCTGGATAGAGAGGGTGACGACTTGTTCCCGAGGGGTAGAAGCAGAAAGAAGTGGGCAAAATCTAGATGTATGTTGGTGGTGGAACCGATAGGACTCGCTAATAGATCAGCATGGGAGACAATAAAAAACAGAAGGAATTAGTGTCAGCTTCTGGCCTTTTGCCTTGACAGCTGGGTGGGTGGTGGTGACTTAAATTGAGAAGGAGATTAGGAAAAGACAAGGACATGGAAGCAGAGAATCACGAGCTGAGGGTGGGATGCCTGGTGAACATCTGAGCTGATTTATCTAGTAGGCAACTGGATATTTGACTCTGGAGCTTAGGAGAAAGATCTAGACAGATGGGGGGGTGGTGTATGATGTGCCTGCAAGCAGCCCTTTCTCCTCAAAACCCACTTTAAAAAGAAAACTTTTTAGTTCAAATTAATCTAAAGGGGGATCAATTTTTAAGCCACCATGTATCTAACCAGATGCAGCGTTAGTCCAACAAGAGGAAGCGGTGACCTTCTCCTGTCCATGGGGGTGGTCATCTACAGCTCCCTGAATGGAGTAAGCGGGCCACTTGGCTTGTCTGAGGAAGATGAGGAAGTCTCCTGAAGGAAGCGTAGTCTTCATTTCCCAGAAGCTTGTTTGGGAAGGAGGCGTGGGCAAGAAGAGAGAAAAGGTTGGGACTGGATTGTCAGCAAAGAGACTGATGCATAATGTACTTTTCTATACACCTTTTAGACATCCATGCAGATTTCAGCTCCAGGGGGCCAACAGTGATCCACTCCTGTTGTCAGTAACTGAGGAGAGGAAAAAAGGAAATTGAGGAAAGGGTTTAGAAATGGACAGGATAGAAAACAGAAGGCCAAGCGGATGGAGAGGTTTAGCCACAAGTGTTCAGTAAGTTGAAATAAACTTATGGGGAAATCAAGGCTCTCGGACTGCACGTCTCTGCTGATTTTGAGGAGGAAGATACTGATGTGTCGAAGAGAAGCCGAGGAGATTGGCAGTGCTAGAACAGTAACCCAGAGGATTTGGAGATCTAAGTGGATTAAATGTTTTGTTTTAACCCTTTATAGAGGCGGCGAGTCAGCTGGTCCTTAAGGAATGAGCAGCAGGTCTCCCTGCAGAAAGGAAACATTCTAGGACCCATGGGTAGCATGAGCATTCATTTGTTGCTTCTGTTGATTCATTCATTCGTTTCATCTACCCACTCAGTAATATATATTAAGTACCTAGTATGTGCCAGGTACTTACTGTCCCAGGCATTGGAGGTACAGCATTGAACAAGACAGACAAGGCCCCTGCCCTCCAGGAGCTCATGTTCCAGTGGAGAGAGAAGAAGATGCTACTGTGAAAACAGGGACATGAACTGGAGTATGACTGTTGGGGGTAGAGGTGGGGCGGGAAGCCCTGATTACCTGACATTGGAGCTAACATGGGAAAGATGAGAAGGAGACGGTTCTGTGAAGAGCTGGGGAAAGACGCTGGCTCACTGAGAAACAGAACGGAAGGCTGCCCATTCGGAGTTGAATGGGTTTGGGGGAGAGCGGGGTGAGGTGAGGTGGGGAAAAGCTGGCAGGGCTCAGATGATACAGCACTTTGGGGACAGGGGAAGGAACTTGGGTTTATTCTGGGTCCAGTGGAGGCCTTGGGGAGAACTTGAGGTGACACAAGACTTATGTGTTAAAAAAAATCTCTTTGTGTAAATAAAGAATGGATTCCATGAAGGCAAGACTAGGACAAAGGAAGCTGATAGGAGAAAAGATACTGATTTAGAGGGAGATGGGCCCTTGATTAGTATCATTTTGGAAATGGACCTGCTGATGGATTGCTGGTGGAAAAGAAGGAACGGGTGAGTCTGGGGCTTGCAGCACTGTGTCAGGAGGCGGGGAGACTCAGGAAGAACTGGGCTGGGTTGGGAAGATGCAGTCATTCCTGTTTGGTGGCTGGTCCATTTCCATCCCAGTGTGGAAAGGCCTAGCAGGCCACTGAAGGGAAGAGCCAGGAATGCTGAGGATGGACCTGGGACCAAGGAAACAGATCTGGGAGGCCCCAGTGCCCCACTGTGTTGAAATTCATGGACTGAATAGGATCACCTTTGGAGAGATTGTGGGCGAGAACAGTGCGACTCCCCTCGGTGGCAGCAGGAGAGGAGGGGCCAGGAGGGGAAAGGAAGCAGCTCGACAGGCTGAGGACCCGGGGGAACCAGGAGGGGTAGTTTCCAGAGGCCGAGAAGGGAGAGTCTTACCCAAAAAAGCTGTTCGCTGCTGAGCAGTTGGGTAAGAAGGGATAGAAATGTCTGATGAAACCTGACAGTGGAGACATCTCTGATGGCTGGGTGAGTGTTCCAGTCTGGAAGGGTGAGGGAGACGCAGCTTGGAGTGGCTTGGAAAGTGATGAGAGGTGAGAAAGCAGCGACTGAAAATGCGACAAGTCTCTGGAGGCGGTTTGCAGGGAAAAGGAGCTGAGAAATGGGGCCGTACTGCAGTGGTGTTCTGGGGTGGGGGCTTCAGCAGTGCAGCCTCCAGGGCAGGTGTTCAGGTCCTGAGTGGGAATGATGGCAGACAGAGGCAGGAACTGATCAGGAAGGAGAGGAGAGATACAAGTAGATTTGTAAGTTTTTGGTGCCGAAACCATGAGGGAGTGCTGATCTGACTGCAAAAGTAGGGGTATTAGAAAGTTTCCAGAACAAAGATTCACGGGGGACTCTTCTTGTTTAAAAAAAAAAAAAATGCACATCTCATTGACTGAAATAAAATCAGCATTGTCTTACTTACATAAGGGAGCCCTCTGGTGGTGGAACAGGCTACTGTACATTTCTGATGGAGGATAAACGGATCCAAAGCACCCTGTTTTCACAGCTCTGCTTTCTGACGCAGTTTTCAGGAACATGTTCCAGGGTATCTGAGACCTGTCTGATCATTTCCTTTTTAACCAGAAAAGATCTAACAGATTGTGCTAGTGACTCTGGATAAGAATCATGGCTGCAATGGAGACCCAAGAAATAGCTCAAAATTAGAACTGCTTGGGATCTAAACCCGAGCCTTCCTGTGCCCTATTTGGGCAGGCTTTGCCCTGAGTTGGCTCCTCTAGAGCTGGGCGAGATTTGAAACTAGAACTGAGCTCAGTTCAGTCACTTGGACAAACATTTACCGAGCACCTGTCGCGAGTCAGCAACTGCAGAAGACAGACGCCAACAAGAAGTGATCACGAACATTTATTTACGGTTCACAGTTATTAATTGAATATCTTCAGGAACGAAGAAAGAATATTCTCTTTGGGGGCCTTTTTTTTCCCATAAAGCCAAGTATTAAGGTCTTATTAAGCATCAACTTTTAGGATCATGGGAGCGCTAGAAGAAATGTGCCATATAATTTCAGGGCAGCATGACACTATACTACAAGGATTGGCAGATCTGTGACACTGGCCTTCAGGGAGAGACGCAAGAGTCATAGTTACTGACCTGCTACTGACCGGCTGTGTACTGGAGCGCGACTTTGAGATTGTTTTCTGTTACTTACAATGGGACCACGGTCATCTCTCAGCTCACCCTGTAAGCCTTAGGTACTTAATTATCACAAGGTAGTTGCTATAAATAGAGTATACAGTGGAAGTGCTAACGATCTCAGGGGTGCCCTCTGGTCTCACTCCCCCTCCCTCCCGGCACTTTTGGAACCCTGCTGTGGGGACCCTTCTTGAGTCCCCTTCTTCCTTAGTGACCTTCCTCCCACCTGGTGTATTCCACGCCCACGTCATTTCTGTATTTGCCTCTCCTTCCGCATTTTAAACTTCTTAGCAAGACACGAATGCTCCGTGATTTGACGCCCGCTCCCCTCTCCAGCCTCACTTTGAGCCATGCTCGGTGTTTGCTCATCCCTGATGAACACTCTGAGCTCCTCCCTTCTCAGGTCCCGTGCCCACCCTACCTGGGTCGCCTCTCCCAGGAACCCACCTCTCCACCTCCTATACCGGGTCCTAACTGTGATTCACATATTAGTTTAAAATTACCTTTTTAAAAGGCTGGCTGGCTGGCTTAGCTGCTTCTGGGTTTTGCCCCCCTCAGCATCAGATTCTTCTAAATAATTTGCACACTGCTAATTACTTACCTAATTATCTATAACTGTTAATGTCTCCCTTCTCACTAGAGTAGACTCGGTAAGAGCCACAAGGGTAGAAACTGGTCTGTTTGGTTCACCACTTTTTCTCTGGTGCCACACACACTGCCTGGCACGCGGTAGGTGCTCAGTAAATATCTGCTAACTGACTTTTCAATCTCCTTTGAGGGGAGGGATATAGTGTATTAATTTCTGCTTCTCTTTAATTAACAGTATTTGGTTATAGAAGGTGCTCTATAAAAGCTTGTAAACCAGTACATGTTTTAAAATTCTAGATCTTGTCTATTTCCAAGAAAAGTGAAATCTTAAAAAAGACAAGGAATTAAAGCAATTATCTTCAGTACTGTAGTATGTATATACTTTAAAAAAAAATTGGGATATCACAAGGCTAACTGTATTAACAGAATAATTGAAGTATTCAGGGCCCATTCTTTGTTGAGGTATATCTATAAAAAGTGTTCACCTAAAAAGATTTGTAGTTTTTCCCCCTACCCTGCACCTTGTTTTTGAGTAAAGATCTTTTTGTTTGTTTGAAGGTGTTTTTAACATGAGTAACTGCTACCTAGTGCATCTTCTTTGTTGTCAGGTAATTGCCTAAAATAATTCTATTTGTTAAGTGTTTTATTAGAAACCAAAGTCCATAAGGAGCTAGATCCTATAATAAAGGGAAATTATTTACCTGATGGAGTGTTTTATAAGTTAAGAGAACTTACAAAAGGTAACCTTGAGGCTTGGTTCAGAACAACCAGCCTTGTTTCTGGCTTTAAAACAGGGATATTATTATATATCTCATAAATGTAAAATCTTGTGAAGGAGCTCAAAAGCCAAAGTGCACACCACCTGGAAACAGTTGCGGCTCTCGACATGAATGACAGTCCTCAGTGAGGTTGTGTCCTACACTAAGGAGAACCCTGCACGTGTGACCCAGAAGCTTAGACAGTGTGATGACCCTAGCACTTCCTAAACTGAATCCAATTTAATGATCAGTAACAAGAAAGCAAGTTCATATATGCATGACTGGGACATTATGCTGTACACCAGGAACTGACACATTGTAACTGACTATACGTCAATTTAAGAAAAACTAAGAAAGCAAGTTAAGGAAGTTTCACATCTCTTAAAATAGGTGGCAAGGTAGGGACAGCTCAATGGTAGAGCACATGCTTAGCATGCACGAGGTCCTGGGTTCCATCCCCGGCATCTCCATTAAAAAAAAAGTTTAAAATAACACCCTTTGACCACTGGCACCAAAGTCCAAGACTGACTCCACATCTCAGACTTCAGAAAATCATAAATAATTGATCTGTTTAGATTTTACTATCTCTGATATGCAGTAAGATTCATAGATGGGTCTTGACACATCTACTTCCAAACTCCTCCAGTTCCCCTGGGTTCTTGGTCATGTGTCTGTCTTCCCAGCTACACTAAGTGTTCAAGGGTCTGGCCCAGAGCGCACACTCAAAATAAGTGACTGATGGGGTGATATCTTTTCGAAGGAAATTTTTGTGCCACCTCAATTTTTACAAGACATTTAGCAAGAAGTGTCCAATGTTTATTATTACTTGTATTACAGAAAATAATCTTCTATTTGTAAAATACAACCGTGTGGATTCCAGGTTATTGTACTTAGGACTTAGGATCATGCTAGGGTTCATCAAAAAGCAAGTTATCTGCTACACTGTAACCTAAATTTATTTCCATGGTCCTCTCCCAAGTTATTTCTAGTCTTTGTTTGAATGTGTATTTTCCCTTCAAGTTTATGATCACACTCTAACCTTTGGAATGACTGTTTTGTCTTTCTAAGGTATAAATCCCAAGAACGTATCCTTGGTAGCGAGTGGAAACCCATACACCTGGAATAACCAGTTATTTCCTAAGTCACTGGGACCCACTGGGGGAGAACTTGCTTTCAAAAGGACTAACGCAGGTAAAGCAAGACCACCTTTAAAGTGTAAATTCACACCGCTCTCCTTCTGCAGATTTTTACTTCTAAATATACTGCGGCTGCTTTCTTCCAACTGAGATAACCCTTGCAGGGTACAAGAGGTTTTCCGGCTGGTACTTGCTGCAGATAGTTTCAAGGAAATCATTTGCCAGATCTCAGCTTCCATGTGGATTCTTTCCTAAAAGGGACCTGCCTGAGCCAGGTGTCTCTACCGTCCTACTTTGCAAAAGAAAAGACTTTCACTGCTCACTGTGTTTCCTTTTTCCCCAAAGTGTAAAAATAACTTGGGGTGCCAAAGGGACAGTTTGACATACTGGTGTTAGTGTCAAAAAAATGCGTTAACTCTGATGACTAGGAAACAAATCCTTTTTAAGTCAAGTGGTTTCCAGTTCTTAATTTTCAAACAATTGAAAGAGAGCCTATAGCATATGAAGCTACCGAGCCCATAAAAACCAGCAACACCACGCCTCATGGCCACCTGTCTCGCTCCCTCCTCTTCGGAGACGGCCTGCACTGTCTGTGGAGTGTGTACCTACTCTTATGTTAACCTGAGCACCCAACCCCACACCTCGTGGCCTTTTGAAATAGCCTACACTCTACGCAGTATTTATCTCACTAAATAAATCTACCTTTACTCAAAAAAAAAAAAAAAAAGAGAGCGAGCGAGCCTGAGTTATAGCTGACAGATAATTAAAAATCATTTTCCATGAACTCACTGTATGATTTTTGGTCTGTAACTCTGAATAGAATTCAAAGACTATAGTGACAAGGCTGTAACAAAACACCTTTCATTCCAAACTATGCGTTTACATTTAACAAGACTTCTCACTGCTTCCTGCTCCCAAAAAATGAAATGAAGCTGAATCCTGTCTGATTTTAGCAATAAGTAATATTTATTTGTGGATATGTGAACTACTTGAAAAAAGTCCCACTTTTCTCCTTAACAGATGAATTTCCTAAAAAACTGACTTTTCATTTTTAATAATCAAACTTTATAATATTCATCTTTTTTGATTATATACAGTGAATCACTGTACTTGTAACTAACAATTCAGAAAAAAGTATTTTAATATACTTATGGTTATAAGAAATTTTTTAAAGGTTTCAGTTTATACACATTTTTTGACTGGTTAAAGGCTTTTCAGTCTAAAGTTGTATTTGGATAAAATTTGGGAGTTGACATATGAGAGAAGATAAAATTTTAGAGAGAAAAGGGATAATGTAAAATTTCCACCTGTTAAAAAGGAACGTTTGTGTATTTCTTAAGCCGATACTGGTGAGTGTAAAACCACAATGGCATTAGATTCCACTGGTTACATTTAAAAGAGAGATGTAATAGTTTTATGTTTAAATGTCTGTAGTTACAATATGCTAGAAGTCACATTCTTTGAAACTGTAAAACTTATGAGACATTTTAGATCTTAGCTGAAAGTGTGTGAAGAGGCAGAGTATTTTTTTTTAATGTAGGTGGTACTGGATCAAAAAAGTTCGAGGATCCCTGTGTAGCAGTTGAGTCTAGTGAGATATTCCAACGTGACATTTTACAAGTTTTCTACATGCTTTGAAGACTCAGCTTATCCACTTAATAGTGCTGAGATGTCAAACACTGCAGCATTGTGATTTGCTTATTTGTTCTCAGTTATTTAAAAATAATATTCACTGAACCAACTGGTTAAGTACAAATCAGTTAGAATGACAGCCCCAACTTTGAGTCTCAGGGAATTGTACGACTGGCATCAAATGAAAGTGGTGACAACACAGAGCATTTTCTCATTTTCAGATTTCTTTCTGGATCTTTTCATTAATCATCTAATCCATTTTTTTCTTCTGCTTTTTCTAAAACCTTCTGCTTACTGTTCATTCTTTCTTTCCATATGCCTTCTCTCTAGAGGAAAGCATAATTAAGCCAATTGAAAAACTATCATGCAATGAAACTTTTCCTGAAAACTTAGAGGACCCACAAGGTAATTTCTGGGCACTGTAGATGGGTAGCAGCTTGTTCTCTGAACCTCTTATCCAACTTTCTTCTCTTACCCCAAATCTCATCATAAAAGGCCACTGTGAAGGCCAAGGTCACCTGCTTTTAGGGGTCAGATCAGGACTAGGAGAGAAAGAAGCATCCACATCCTCAAGAACCTTCTTCTTCAGTGTCTGGAATTCTAAGAGTCGTTTGCTCTTGAGGCGCTCTAAATGTGCTCTTCTTCTTAATTATGACAGTTTACAGACATCAAGCAAATCTACTGAAAATAATTAAAAGAGTATTTCCTAATTTTATAATCAGTATTCCTGGAAAAATTTTTTAAGTTCTGAGACTCATTTCTAAGCACGAACTATCATTTAAAAGAAAAAGTTAACCCAGTTAATAGAGATGGTGGATTTCCTAGAGTTTCACCGTCAGTGGTTTAAGTGGTGCTAACTGTTGGCTCCAACCTGAAAACTTGCAGCTCATGAAGTATTGCAAATGATAAGCCAAAATAATTTAAGAAGACGACTTAATTTTCTCTGCATCTTTTTCTAAGCAGCTTCTTCCTCCAGTAGGAAGATGCTTCCTGCAACTGTTCAGTGTGTGGCTTTTAGAGCCAGATCTCTCCCCTTTCTGTCACTCACAAGTCTTATGATTTTAGACAAGTTACTCAGGCCCCCTAAGTCACTTTCCTCACCTATAAAACAGAGGAAATAATATTTACCAGGCATTATTACATAACCATACCTAGGATTTCTTTCACACAGGAAGCATTTAATAAGGGTTTGCCTTGATATGATGGGAAGAGAGCGAGATGTTCTGAAGCTGCTACAAACAGAATCACTGCCTTGAACTTCCCTTTCAAAAGTCAAAGGGCAGATTTGCAACTCAGAACAAGTCCTTGAGGTGAAAAGGAAGGACAAGTTAGGCAGCTGTGTGTATGCAAAATTCAGCAGTGTTAAATCTGTACAGACTGATCACACGGACACTGTGTGAAATCCTTCGGGGTCTGATTAATACTCGTGCTGTTGACCTTTGCTGGTTCAAGAGCAAACACTTATTGAGACCTCCTACGCAAAGCCCCTGACAGAGCTCAGGGACACAGGACAGAGTCTGGCCTTGCAATCAGATAACACCTTGTAAAAATAAGCTTCAGTCAAGCTGCCAAGCAAACAGCTCTTTGAAGCTGCCAAGGCGGTCAGAGCCCTGCTCCACCGTCTCCCTGGCAAGCCTGTCTCCCTTCAGCGTAGCCAGGCTCCTTGAACGAGAAGTCTGGGTTCTTGTTTCCTCTTATTTTCCATTTATTCCTCAACTCACTGTGGTCTGTCCTCAGCTTGCCTCGGGCCACTGAGACAGCTTCCCTGTCCCTCTTTTTCCTTCCCCTTAATGCTGTGTCCCCTGGGCTTCTGTTCTCTTCCAGGCCTTTGCACATCCTGCAGTCCCTCTGAGCGCGCTCCTCCAAGCCCATGCGCCTTTAACCACCATCCCCTGCTCATTCCAAATCTCCAGGCCTGGGACCTGAAGCTGCCATGCGCTCTATGTCTTTATCCCAAACCTGATTCTCCTCCTGCATTGCTGTTCTCGGTCACCTACAGACTGAGGGGTTTCTATTCCTCTCTCTCCTGCCCTTCCCCCTGCCCCCCTCCACTGCGCAGTTCCCTCCTCCATCCGGCCATGACTGCCTGAGTCTCTTACTCTCATCTGAGCTATAGCAGTGACCTCCTGACTGGTCTCCTGCCTTTACTGTCCCCCTGCTACCCATCCCTGTACTGCCCCCCGAGTGGCCATTCACTAATAGCGCCCAGGATGATGACAGCTGACTCTGTTGAACAGCATATCCCATGCGAAGTGCTTTGCATTCATCTCATTCAGTCCTTACAACAACCCTGTGAGGACAGGCGCGCTCATCAGAGTGACTTTACGAGATGGAGACGCGCTCAGAGAGCATCGCAGGGATGGGGGCTTCCTGGCAGGAAATACACTCTCATGTTAAGAACTGGAGTCATGAAAGCCCTGGTACCTCCAGCGTGAAGCCTTGGTTCACATTCTAGCACGGTCACTTCCTAACTGTGAGAACCGAGCCGAGTCAGGCGTGGATAGTAACATGCGTCTAAGAGGGTTGTTACATGGACTGAATAGGATTATCTGTAAAACCTCAGCGCTGCGCGTGAAATGTAACAGATGCTCACAGAATAGAATTTAGAATCAGTAGGGGTTGTAATCAAAGTTAACCTTCTGACTGTGAAACTTTATGATACGTCACTAGGAAATCTTGGAAGTTACGCTACTTACAATCAGTCAGGATATATTCCTTCCTTTCTGAAAAAAGAAGTGGGCTCAGCTGGACAGAGGATACACTTAGCACCTCTCGGTGCAACAGCTTCAGGTAAGGACAACTTCAGATACAATTTTTGAGAATTCTGATCAGAAAGGAACTTGTTAAAGTTTATATGGTCACTTTTCCTGAGTGAAGACTTTTAAATTAGCCTTACCTACTAACTACAGCTTTATTGGTTTTTGGCAAAAACGTCCTGTTTTTCTTCCAAAGACGTGGTCTGAGAGTCTCTTAAGAAGAGCTACCTCTAATTAAGTGGCCGCTGTCTGCCAGACACATGGATTGTGCCACTGAATCGTCCCAATGAGCTGATGAGGTCGATCATCTACAGATGAGGAAACTGACTTTAAGTTAACTGACCTAAGACCACACCGCTCTTAAACAGTGGCGCTGGGACAGAAGCTCAGGTCGTCTGATTCCAAAGAGTGTGCTGTGCTACGCAGTGAGCTGTAAGAAGATGCACTGTTCAGGGCTTCCCGCCCAGCACAGAGAGAAAGCTTAATAAATGCTGAGACTCTGTTCCGTGTCAGTTAGCGGGCAGGTCTTCTGCAGTTCCATCTCAGAGTTTAGAACTAAACCGTGGCAGAACTTCCACTGGCTTTTGCTTTGCAATATATTAGGTGGTGACGTTTTACTCCCCACCCTCCAACGTTATGACTAACGAGGTCACCTGCTCTGCAGTGGCGTGGCGAACAACAGCCACGTAGTAGGGGGACGCTCTTGAAGCTAAGGTGAGGATTCTGTACTTGAGCTGACCCGATGTGACTATGAACGTTCCCTATTTAATCTAAAACAGATATCCTTATTAAAGCACCTACAATAAACATTAAGTTTGGTAAGATACCTAGTTAGTTAATTTAGTTTACAAGTTGACTCGAAAAGTTTTCTCACAGCCTATCCTGACCAGGATCTGGCATTAGAACTCCCCATTAGAGCCGTCGATCTTTAAAGTTCGCACTCTTGGAGCTAAAACTGTAAAAAGCACTGGACTTGGATAATTTTTTATTTCTTACAACAGAACTGCTTAAGCAGTAGTCTGTTACCTTATCTGTGAAAAGAAATGCTTCATTATCTCTCTGCCAAAACAAAATACATAAACAAACATTTTATATGCAGCAGTAATTTTTATAAAGCCTCAAATATTTTAAGGCAGCCTTATAATGAGTGATTAGCCATGGCTTAGTAGCCCTTTTTAATATAAAGGCAGAAAATCTTAACGTCTCAGAGTATTTTGTCATCAGAGCACCTGCTCTAGAAAGTGGAAGTGGGTCTTTTTTCACTGCAGTTTTATAAGATATTGGAGGCCTTTATATATTAATTATTCTGTCAGATTTGCATGCATACTCCTGTTTTCATTTTCTGTTTTAAGTAAAATGCCTTCTCATAACTTTTCATCTCTTCATTTACTCTGCTTATCAGATTTCCCTACAGATCGTGATAGGAGGAAAGGTTAAAAAAAGAAGTAAATATTAAGCATTCTCAAGTGGTCAGTGCAAATCCTTAGGAAAACACTGTTCTGTGAGAGGTGTGTCTTCCAGTCCTCCCACTGGTGTGACAGTTTCCCACAAGAAAATAAAACCAGGTCATTACTGTATTTACTCAACTATTTCCCCTCCTCTCAGCCTCCCTCTCCGCTCTTCTTCCTCATCCTCAAGTTTGGAGAAGAAAAATCAAATCAAATTTCTTCCTCCCCATGTAATCTCTCATCCTGAACTTCCTCATCCCTCATTGTCCCCTGCTTTGACAGTAACAAGGACTTAGAGGAGAGACTTCTTTCAGACACAGCCGCCCTCTAGAAGCGTGGGGCCCTGGTCTAAGTGCTCTGCCTGCACTAACTCACTGAACCCTCCCACGGCTCTCTGACAGACGGGACTGTCATGATCTCCATTTCACAGACGTTTTCTATCTTGCTAAAAGTTACGCAGTAATGGCATTGATGACATTCTCAACTAGAGGCAAATGCCTTTTCCTTTAGCAAACATTTTCTACAAGAAATTAAATGCCCTTGATAGGACGGAAGCAGTTTGTAAAATAAATGCACAGCAAGCATCAGAGGGCTGACTGCTCCGCTCTAGGGAGCTGGGAGGCACGGGCCCAGCTGAGGCACACAGCGCTTCTTGCCTGGACACGAGACCTGGGCTCCGCTGTCACCTACTAAGGTCTTCACTAAGGGTGCTGGAGTCCTAAAACTCTGTAATTTCTCAGAAAGGAATCCTAAATGTCAGCGCTACTGCCTTACTAGCAAAATGATTCCCTTTTCAAAGAAGGTTTTACAAATATTGGCCTGGACAGTTTCCTCCCAATGCATTTAGGATTCGACTGAGGTGATCTCATGACCTGGAAAAAAAGCTGCTCTGGATGGTATTCCCCAAGCCCCTCACCCATTCCCACCCACTGCTAGCTGAAGGAGTTGTTCCCTTTCTCCTCTGAATCACCGGAGCCTATGGCCTCCCTGTCCCTCCTTCCCCACGCCTTCCCCTCCCATGAGTGCTCCTCCGCCCAGGGTACCATTTTGACCTGCAGGTCTCAGGCGTGAGCACGTTCATTTCAGACTGATGCTGGTTTGTATTCCAGTGGGTTATAACTAAACAGTGCACTTAACTGGCCCTCCTAGGCACATGGTCCCTGTCTTTCATAGGGAACCTTTTATTGGCTTTGAGAGCTTTAAAGCTGGTAAGAGTGGAATGAAATGACCTGTCAAACCAAGGGAAAATTCCTGGCCTCGCTGTCCCAACCAAACCACACAGCAGTTAGGGGGAACTGTCACCAGGCAGTTCCTCACTGCTTTGTTCCCTGGTAGCTGAGGTTGTCAGAACAGGCTCCCTACATTCCTCCCGTACTCCCAATTCTACAGTAAAAGTGTAGGAAAAAACTGGGGAAACTATGCCAGTAAACATGGTATAGCTAGTGTTAGGTATACAGAACCATCAGAGACTCACTTCAAAATCGACTCTTACAGAGTTTAATCCAAGAATGTCACCTAACACATAGTGTGAAAAGATATTTAAATCCCAAATGGAAAGATGGAACATCAGACACAATACCTGTGACACCTAGCTCCCAGTCTGAAGTGAGGCAGGGATGGAGGAACTGAGGAAATTAAAGTTCTCTGTAAAATGATTTATGGCTTTGTCATTTGAGCAATTTTAGCTTAAAAATTGTTCAGGGAACAAATGTTTCCCAAATTCAAATTTTCACAAAACTTCGATCAGCCAAATAAATCTATGAATAAAATGAACCTTGTGACGAAAGGTTTGGGATCCTAAGTAGGGCTCACCTTCTAAAGGGATTCTGTTATCAATCAGCATTTCCCCAGTAAAACATGAAGTTTCTTGACTCTTAAAAACCACATTAGGGGGGAGGGTATAGCTCAAGTGGTAAGAGTGCATGCTTAGCATGCATGAGGTCCTAGGTTCAATCCCTAGTAGCTTCTTTAAAAATAAATAAACCTAGTTACCTCCCCCACCAAAATAAAATAATAAATAAAACATAAAGCTATTTAAAAAAAAAAGAAACTTAAAAAAAATAACCCCACATTAAAAGAAACCTATTACGGGACCCCATCTGTGTAGCTCCATGCAGCCAGAGCGTCACAGGATTCACAATTCTGAATACACTTCCTGTAGTGATACTGTGTTCGAATATTATTTAGAAGCAACCACAGTGTAATTTTAAATAGTCACTAACACTGTGGGCATTGCCCACTGAACTTAGACCAAGAAGGTACTGCCTATCTAAATACGATGGGCACTTCAGTGAACCCAAATAAAAGTAGCAGTGTCAGAGCTATAAACCAGAAATGATGGCTCTTGAGCAGCTCAGAATTCTTACTGGCATCAATATAATACTACAGGAGAATTTTTGGTCTCAATATTTATATTAAAAAAAAACTTAGTGACCACTGAATTAATTTTTCAAAGATAAAATTCAAAATTTCCCCCATGAAATGAGAAGATGAATTGATTTTGAATTTAATAATCAGATGAATAAAATCTTCTTTTCTGATTCTGCTTTCTTTCAGAATATTCCTGGAACACAAACACTGGTCGGGGGCAGTTTTCAGGACCCACTTACAACCCTACAGCCAAGACTCTAAATATTGTGAACCGCGCCCAGCCAGTCCCCTCTGTGCACGGGAGGACAGACTGGGTGGCCAAGTACGGAGGCCACCGGTAGGAGTCTGGTGTGAAGGCCCACAACCCTGCTCCACGTGGTCTGTGCACGTCCCCTGACCCTGACCCTGGGAAATGTCTACAGATGTCTATTTCTACTGTGTTCTGGAAGAAATATATGATAGTGGGTACTCTGAAGAGCAAAAAGCTTCTCCTATTTTATTTCTTTCCTAGAAATGAAATGCATTTTCTTAGCCTCATCACCCACACGATGCTGATATATGGGTAGGACTTTACAAAGTATTGAATAAACTATTTGCCAAAATATCAAGTATCTGATCTACAAATTAGTAGACACTAAGTACAAGAAACTTAAAAAAAAAAAGCCTCCAGAAATTTAAGTGTTTGAAGTGTTTCAGTTTTCATTTGTCATATATTTGCCTCAACTAGTACTTCATTGCTTGGCCTCAGAGGTTTGTTTTGTTTTGGTATTTCATAGCATTAGGTAGACGTGTGGACTGTTGTTAAAGCTTCTGATTTGGCCAAGGCTCTACTCTACCTTGTGGGCAATGGCAGAAAGATGGTAATTTATCATTTATTTTTCTACTATGAAACTGTGGAAGCAATGGGAATTCCAATCTTGCACCGGATGTCTTTCTTAGAAATAACTATTTCTTTAACATTAAGATTTCAAAATTACGCCACCTAATTTTGGTGGAGAAAGAGTCTGTTGTTTGACTGTGACCAACAACTGCTCTGAATTCATGGTGACTATCAAACCCAACAGCTTGATGATTCCCAGTGAACCAAGTCAGGGTTCTGTCATCTTCACATCAAAAAAGTCCTTGGAAGTGAGAAGTGCGTTCATCAGACTTTCAAAATGCATTGTTTCCGTGTTCCTACCAAAGGTGAGATATGCCAGCTCGTTCCCCAAAGCAAACTTGCTGCTGCAGGTCACTGACTCGGCTCTGACCTTCACATCTGCTCTGAAGAGCAAGTGCATTCAGCTGCGATAGCAGTGATTTCTTAGTACACACTTTTGGTTTTATTTCTAAATTGGTATTTAAAGTACACATTTTGAATTTAGGACTTCTCTACTTAAGCCTGTCACTTTATGAACTGGACATTACTTTTAAAGTATAATGTTATCGACTGCTGATATTTTATGTATTTTATGACTCTGTAACAAATGCTTATGTAATTGGTATCACCTTGTGGATATACAAAAGCACATTATAAAATAATATGGTATTTTTGTACAGAAGATTCAGCTCACCTTGCTGAAAAATGCTAAAATCTACAAGGATAATTTATGTTAGTGGTAATGGTTATATATACATAGATATTTGTACAGTTTTAATTAATGTCTCAAAGTTTAAAACATCCTTTTGTGTTGTTGGGAAACTTTTAAACTCTGATTAGATATTAAAATTAATATGGTTAACTAGTGTGTCTTCTTTTACATTTTTAAACTTTATACTTATACCGAGACCTATTTGTTGTTAATCAGTCAAATTTTTTTTTAAGCAGTTTTAGGTTGATGGAAAATCTGATTGGAAAGTACAGAGTTTCCATATACTCCCTCATCTCCCCCTCCTCAATTTCCCCTATTATAAATATCCTACATTAGTGCAGTACATTTGTTGTAACTGATAAACCAATATTGATACATTATTATTAACTGAAGTCCATAGTTACATTAGGGTTCACGCTTCGTGTTGTAGATTCAGTGGGTTTTGACATGTATAATGACACGTGTCCATCAATAGTCCCATACAAAATAGTTTTCACTGGCCTAAAAATCTCCTGTGCTCTATCCATTCATCCCTCCCTCCCTGCAAACTTCTAGCAACCACTTACCTTTATTATCTCCGCAGTTTTTCTTTTTCCACAGTCCTATGGTTGGAGTTACATAGTATGTAGCCTTTTCAGATTGGTTTCCTTCACTTAGTAATATATGTTTAATGTTCCCACCTGTCTTTTCTTGGCTTGATAACTCATTTCTGTTTATCACTGAATAATATGGCACTGTCTATATGTACAAAAGTTTATCCATTCACCAACTGAAGGATATTTTGGCTCTCACCAGTACCACACTGTCTTGATTACTACAGCTTTACAGAAGTCACATAATGTCAGCCCTCCAAATTTGTTTCTCTCCTTCAAATTTGTGTTGGCTGTTTTCAGTCTTTTACTGCTCCATATAAACTCTCGAATCAGTCAATATCCACAAGATAACTGGGAGTTTAATTAGGACTGCAGCGATCAAGCAATGAATAACACATCAAGTTGGGAAGAACTGACGTCTTGGCAATTTTGAGTCTTCCATCTACGTACAAGGACTCTCTCTCTACTTACATCTTCTTCGATTTCTTTCATCAGTGTTTTGTCGTTTTCCTCATGCAGATCTTATACATACTTGCTGGATTTATACCTAAGTGTGCATTTTAGTGCTACTGTAGTTTTTAATGTCAATCTGAACTGCTCAGTTTGTATATAAGAAAACAAATGACTTTTCTATATTAGAGTTGTAGCCTAATTCCTGTTATAATTGCTTATTAAATCCGGGAGATTCTCTGTTGATTCTTTGAAATTTTCTACATAGACAAACATGCCATCTGCAAACAAAAAGTTTTATTTCTTCCTTCCCAAGGAGTGTATCTTTTACTTCCCTTTTTTTGTCTTACTGAACTAGCTAGTAAAACCAGTACAGTGTTGAACAGAAGTGGTAGGAGTGAACATCCTTGCCTTGTTCCTGATCTAGGCAGGAAAACACCTAATTCCTCTCCATTAAGTAAGATGTGAGCTGTAGGTTCTTTAGTAGATGTTCCTTATCAAGGTAAGGACCTTCCTATTTTGCTGAGTTTTCATTATGAATGGGTGTTAACAGCCTGTCAAATGCTTTTTCTGCACCTTTTGATAATGAGCACTGAGCATATGATTTCTGTTCTAAAGCCTGCTGATGTGATGGATTACATTGATTTTCGAATACTCAACCAGCTTTGTATACCTAAATTTCACTTGATCATGTTATGTAATTCTCTGTATATTGTTGGATTTGATTTGCTAATATTTCGTTGAGGATTTTTACATCTGTGTTCATATATATATGGGGGGAACTTTTCTCTAGATTTGAAAATATTCAAAATCAAATGTTAAAACAACATATATTTATGAAGTAAAGATTTACCATAAGTACAAGAAGAAATTGATACAAACACAGAGTGGAAGGTTTTTCTAAGAAAACAGATCTAGATACACTTATTTGAATAAGTGTATCAGTCACAGAGTAAACAAAGTTTATCCAATATATATACCATATCAAACTTTGACCAATAAGGCAAAATATAATACATGTAACATGCACAAAAAACCTGACCTTATATTAGGCCACAAAGAAAATCTCAATTTCTCAAATGTAGAAATGTGTAAACCGCTACTTCTTTCCAGTGTAATAAAAGTAGAAAAAAGCATGCCTCCAAAGTCTATCCACTTGAAAATTCAAGAACACTGCTATAAACACAAGTCAAAAGGGAAAAAAGTTAGAAATGACTTCCGTATTAAAACTTGTGAAACTCAGTCAAAACAAATCTCAAGAGAAAAAAATTATACACTTGTTCCATTTACGAAACAAACAAGGAACACTGAAGATAGACTAAATGAGCATTTAGCTTAAGAAACTAGAAAAAGGAATAACAACTTCAAAAAGCAAAAAAGAATTAAGATAAAAGTATCAAATAATGTCCCAGTAGCAACAAGCATTACCCAGCACCTGCTCTCAGTTTCCAACATCACTGTCCAGCAAAAGAAACCAGAGCTCCTTGGAGAAGTGGCTGATTCCAGTATTGGGGATGAAATACACAAGATAAGCCTGGAGCATCTCAAAGTGCCAGAAAGTGCGGAAGTGCTAGAAAAACAAAAAACAAGCAAGGAAAAAAAAAAAAAAGCCTGCACTGATTGCCTATGTCAAAGGTAACCATGGGCCAACTAAAAGAATTTCCAATGGTCAAAACTGCAACAATTTGAGCAAAAAAATTTACAGCAAAGTTTAAATTATAATCCAATAAACCAGAAAATAAATATACATGAATCTACACTGAATGAGTGGATGGATGGAAAGACACACAGGGAAGAAGAGACATCTTCCATGCACCAGAATTCCAAATAATTTATGTAGATACTCTGCCCTCAAGGAGGTAGAGCACAGCTCCCCATTCCTTAAGTGTGAAATACGCATAGTGACTTCCTTGCGAAGAGTACAGTATGGAAAGGGGGAAAAAGGAGTAGCTTCACAACAGAGAAACCTGAGGACCACCACCTCAGCCAGATGACTGAGTCAATGTCAACAGTAATTTATCACATTCATATATGTAACCTTAACATGATGTGATGAAAATGACACTTCATTTCTGTGGTCTTCCTCCTAAAAATCCGTAATTCCAGTCTAACCAAGACAAATTCCAATGAAAGTACATTCTACAAAACACCTGATCAGTCAGTACTCCTCAAAACCCAGTCACCAAACACAAGGAAAGTCTAACAGTCTTGGCCAAGAGGGGCCTAAGGAGACATGACAATTAAATGTAGTATGGTGTCCCAGATAGGATCCTGGAATAGGAAAAAGGATATTAGTTAAAAATATGAAAATCTGAATAAAGTACAGTCTTTAGTTAATGATAATGTATCAATATTGGTTCATCAGTTGTAATAAACGTATCATGCTTAATGTAAGATGTGACTAATAGGGGAAACTGGAGGTATGATATGTGGAAACTGTATTATCTTCTCAAAATTGTTTTAAAAAACAGTCTGTTTTTTAAATTGATGTATAATCAGTTACATACATTGTGCCAATTTCTGGTGTACAGCATAATGTCCCAGTCATGCTAAAGTCTATTTTTAAGAAAAGATTTGATCAATCTATCTAGTTGGCAAATATTTACTATGTGCCTACTACATACTAAGTGTAGTATTTATGATAGTTTAACAAAAAGGTCATTTTCTTGGATCTCAAAAAACATTTACTCTGAAGTCAGACATTAAATAAATACACAAAAAACTATGCATGTGCAAATTATGATGAATGCTATTAAGATAAAGAACAGGATGTTACAGAGATTAAAGAAGGGATATAAATACAGCAAGAGATGACTGAACAATTTTAAGCTTAGGAGTCTACACCTGAAATGTGCCTCTGCCTGCTGGGTAGAGAATGAATTGTTGGATCAAAGCATGAAAAGAGTCCTATTAGATTAAAAGATGGTGAGACTTGGACTTGGGTATTAGCAATGGTATGGAAGAGAACTGATCATAGCTGTTGATAGGAAGCTATTGGTTTTTGTTTCTCACTATTTGTAGAATTTCCTCGTTAGTTCTAATAGGTTTTTAGTTGCTTGTCTTGGATTTTCTAGATGGACAATTTCCTTTTCCACTATTAATTTATACCTCATTTATTTCTCTAGTTTTACTGCTTTGTCTAGCATCTCTAGAACAATGCTGAATTGTCAATGACAGCAACTATCCTATTATTTCCAACTTTAACGTAAACCCATACCACTAGACAAAGGGTAGCTGACAAAAACTTAAGGCAAGTAATATACTTAAGTGAGTCAACAGAAGTATTTACATTAATATCAGAAATTCACTATTCAGATTGATAC